CCTCCATGTTGAAGCATGTGTCTTGTCTTTTTAAAGCTGAATAGTATCTCATTGTGTATACACCTCACTTTGTTTATCTATTCATCTATCAATAGATGAATTTAAGTTCGTTCTACCTTTTGGCTCTTGTAAATAATGCTGCTGTGAACATTAGAATACAAGTATTTGCCTGTGTCTCTGATCTCAATTCCTTTAGCATATACCTAGCAGTGGCGTTGCTGGATCATATGATAATCAACATTTAGTTTTTTGAGGTACTGTGACACTGCTTTCCAGAGTGGCTGCACCATTTGACATTCTTACCAGCAATGCATGAGAGATCCAATTTCTCCACAGCCTCACTGTTGTTGTTTTATAATCATCATCATAATGGGTGTGAAGTGTTGTCTCGTGGTTTCAATTGTGTGTGTGTGTGAGAGAGAGAGAGAGAGAGACAGAGAGACAGAGACAGGGAGAAAGCAGCCAACTCCCTCTGGGCTGGAAGAGACCTCTGTCATTACATCCTGAGCCCTACCCTCTTGGGAAGGCCAGCACCTCAGTCTCCAGAGACAGGATAGAACTCTTGATCTCAGCCCAGATGCCATCAGCAAGTTCATAAGAGTTCACAGAAGCATGTTAAGCTGAGAAGCCAGCACCCTTCCAGGTTTTTTCAAACTCACTTCCTAAAGATTCTTCAGAGTCCTGAAGAAAAGGAGAGAGGGAAGCAGGGAAGAGGAGACAGGAGAATTAGGGCATACCTCAGAGCTCAGCATGGCCAAGGAGAGGGGAAGTGTCCAAGTATCATTGTTAAGGGAAGAAACTGGGCTTCTCTCACTGAGTCACCAAAGCGAATGGTACAACAGCCAGGGTCTAGCCCAGACTCAAAGATAGAATCAGACATTAACAAGGGAGAAATTCAGAAGGTTACCAGGGAGGTCAGAGCCTCTGAGATTAGGATCTGGAGTGAAATAGAGGCAAAGCAACAGGAAACAAGGTCAAAAACGGGAAGGCTTGATTTTGGCTTCTAAATTGGGATCGGTTACACAGGAAATAAAATGCAAAACAAAAAAAATCGAGAGGCAGTACAGTTCCAGGTCACTGGCTAAGCCCAGTTAAGTGCAAAGTAGCAGGCTGGCAGCTTCACGCTGGGCTCCTCAACATCCCTGCCTCTACCCTGTGGTGCGTCTTCTTCCATTCAGCTGATGACCCTTCCCACAGGCTTTGCCACTGTCCCCCATGGGACTATAACACACTCAAAGTCTTTCCAAGCAGCCATTAGGCAAATGATACCGTGGATTCTCCAGTTCTTCAGTGGGGTAAGCAGAGAAGTCAGAGGAAACAAAGAAATCAGAGCTTCCATCCACAGATGGATCTGCTCCACCTCTGAACTAGGACGAAAAAAGTTTTAAGACTAGTCGAGTGGGGTCACAAACCCCAGAGGTACATTGATAGAGAATATGGAAACTCTGTGTGGTAGGTGGGCTTCTCAGATGAATCCCAAGACCCCCACCTCCTGATGTGCATGCCTGCATCTGTATCATTTTCCCCCTTTGAGCATGAGGGGACCTGTGAATAGGAGAGAAAGCACCCCAGGCAAAAGGGAGATTCTCCTGGGTGGGCCTGGCTTCATCAGGCAAACCTTTAAAAGGTGAAGCATCAGAGAGACCTTCGCCCACTAGCCTGGAAAAAGACCAGGCTGTGCTGTGATCTGCTAAGGAAGATCTCATAACAAGGAACTTCAGCTGAGAGCATTCCTCAGCCTTGGGATGTGCTTGGAAGATGACCCTGAGTTTCAGATGAGATCACAGCCTCAGCTGACGCCTTGCTACCAGCCTGGTAAGAGTATGCGTAGAAGACCCAGCCTGGGCTTCTGACCTTCAGAAAGTGTGGTTGAGTGTGTCGTCTTCTGTTACACAGCGATACAAACCAGTCCACCTCGCCTACCTGACGGAAGGCAGCCGTAGGTTTAACCCGAACCTCAAGCTTCTTTGATATGCTCCGTGATGCAGAACAACAGATCAACACACACATCAGAGATTCATAAATTCACACAAGGCCTTAGAGCGCGTGTCTTCCAACCCTCAGAGAGGTTTAAGTGACTTACTCAAGGACATGCTACCAATTAGTGGCAAATATGGTGGTGAATCTTAATCATTCCTGTATCTGGAAGTAAAAAGTAAAATGGGTCAGGGCTCCAGAGCACTCAAACACAGGAGGAATCTTAAACACCACCTTGTGGAAACCCAAAAGGAAACCGAGGCATGGAAGACTAGGGAGTTCCCAGTGCTCTTTCCGATTCCCAGAGCTACATCAAACCAGCAGGTGCAGCCCCACGACAGATAACCATGCGCAGACCATTGCCCTTCTAAACAGAAATCGGCAGGCACCAAAAACCGCTGCCTGCCCTCTGATCCTCAAAACAAAAATCAGCAGCAAGATGCATCAAAGATAAAGCGCTTCCCTGGCTGACAACTGAGCTGTTGCCAGCTCTCTCAGCTCACAGGAGACGGAGCTGTTCCCAGCTCTCCCAGCTCTCCCAGCTCACAGGAGATGGAGCTGTGATGTGGCCACTCCTTGCCCAGGCTTTCTCTGCAGGAACCCTGGGCTACACTGAAGGAGAAAGTGGGGCATTCTGGGGGAAAGAGGGGCAGGCATGTTTGGCTTCTTTTTTTGAAGCTTAGAAACAAAAGAAAATATTGCAGCTTTGTTAGTCAAGGACCTTTTGTGGAGGTTGATGTGTGCCAGTCAGAGCTGAGAGGGTGTGTGTGTGTGTGTGTGTGTGTGTGTGTGTGTGTGTTTCCGAGTAGCCTGTCAGAGCCTCATTTTCCAGGATGCAAGTCTCCCCCAACTGATAACACTCTAAATAGCAGGTGAGTGACTCCTGGCAGGAAGGAGATTGTCTGACCTCATTGTTTGCCTTTTTTCCCCCTCTTTGTTCTTCACAAATAAAGGTTTTTTAATAAACTGAAAGGTCCTCCGCTCTTGCCTGATGATAAAATGAAAGGAACCAGTGAGGTATGGTACAACGTGGCAGCAAAAAAGGAGAAGCTCATCAGAAAATAACAAAGGTGCAAGTTAAAGATAAGGCAGCTGTCAGAGATTAATCCTGCCCGCCTGATTGTTTTCTTTAATACCAAAGCCTGCAATAGCAAGCGATAAGTTTGGTGAGTAATTTGGTTTTTGGTGAGGAAATAAAGTTCAGGTAGGCCCCATAATTGATTTCCCTTTTTTTTTTTAGTTTTCTAAACATTAAACAACAACAACACAAAACCCTGCCTTGGCTACACTTTTTTCCTCCCAGCTGCACTGTCCGTGCACCGTCCTCCTGACCACCCCCCACCCACCACCCTTCCTTGATCCCAGAATTTCCAAAAGGAGGGAGGAGCGAGAAAGAAAAGTTCCCATCTCTCAGCATCATCAGGTGCAGTTTACATGAAATCCTTAAATTCACGTCTGTCACAGACTAAATTTTGCCCCATTTCCCTCACAGCTAAAAGATGTTGGCGTCCTGACCCCTCATAGTTCAGAACGTGACCTTATTTGAAAATAGGGTCTTTGCAGAGGTAATCAGGTTAAAATCAGGTCATTAGAGCGGGCTCATCCAACCTGACTGGTGTCCTTATTAAAATGGGAAATTTGGACGCAGATACACACACAGTGAATGCCATGTGGAGACGAAGCCAGAGATCAGGGTGACACTTGTACAAGCCAAGAACTGGCAAAGATTGCCCATAAACCACAGAAGCAAAGAGAGGCATGGAACAGACTCTCCCTCGGAGTCTTCAAAAGGAACCAACCCTTCTCTTTAAAGAAGTAATAAGTACATTAAAATTAAGTTAGTAGAATAGGCTCTAATCCAGCATGACCGGCCTCCTTGTAAGAAGAGATGAGGACAGAAACACACACAGAGGGAAGACCTTCTGAAGACAGAGGGGAAGACGGCATCTGCAAGCTGCGTGGAGAGGCCCCAGGAGAAACCAACCTGCTGACATCTTGGTCCCGGACTTGTGGCCTCCAGAACCAGAAGACAATACGTTTCTAATATTTAGAAACGTATGGTGGCACCATCCAGTTGGTACCACCTTGTTATGGCAGCCCTTGGAAACCGACACAATGTCTAGCTTTAATATTTTCAAGCAGCAAGAAACCCTCACCTTTAACTTGAATATCACGTTAATCCAAGTTCTCATTTTCTTCACATCCTAGACCCCATCAGTTTCTTACAGCATTAAGCATATTACTCAAGAAGGCAGTCGAAGGAAAGTGGAACCTTAGGCAAATCCCTATCCCTTCCTTCTCTGTGTGAGCAGATTACCTTCCCCCCAAAACATCAGGGCATTTATGGACATGGGCGCTACTCACAGGGTCTTTGCCACATGCACGAACTCAGTCACTGCCCCTTCATTTTCCGGGTGTGTGGGAAGCCCAGTGCAGTCACCTTGCTGATCACAGGGTACACTGGGGAAATGGCTTGGAGGTGTGGTGCTGCACCAGAAGTCCCAAATGTCAGGCAAAACGCTGGCTCTCCAGTGTCTCATCAGAGCATTAGAAAATCCACGTTAGCTCTTTCAGACCAGAGCTTTGCCCACTTCAAACTTTAATTGCACAGGAATGAATCCACGTGGAAACCTTGTTAAAATGTTGATTCTGATTCAGGAAGTCTGGGCCGGGGCTGCAGGGGCTGCAGGGGCTGCAGGGGCTGCGTTTCTAACAGGCACCAGGTGATGCCGACGACGCTAGGCTGGTGCCTGAGCCGCACCTAAGGTGCAAGGTTGCAGATCATGACAGTGTAGAGGTGTGGGGCAGGTGTCTCAGGAAAGGGGATCCCTGTGGTTGCTCAGAGGCAAAGCTTTAAGTGGCCACAAAACTCCACATGCTCAGAGGTCTCTGGGTTGGGGAAACCTTTAGCAGGTTTAGCAGAGAAACAAAAACAGAACAGGAGCCTTGAGTGGGGATGAGGCTGGGAGGCTCTGAAACAAGAGAATGCAGATTGCACACACGCACCAGGAAATGCGCTAGTAGGCAGCGCCAGCATGAGCAGAGCCTTATTTATTGTGACAAAATGAACAGCCCCCAGGTTCATCCAGCAGCTAATTTCTCATCTTATCTATTATGTGAATGAGATGGGAAAACAGTTTCCTGTTTCTCACAGATATCACTGACATGAAAGATACTCAGGAAATTCCCTGGAAAGCTGTGCAGTCGCATCCATCTGCCGGATTGGTGGTTTCAAGGGGAGGAATTGATGCAGCCAGGGCTGCTCCCAGATGGAGAAGCCAGTAAAGAGGTTTCTTTGCAGATGCCCTCCTGTTAATATCACCTTGGAGAATGACTGAGGAGCTGACAGGTCTTTTTCTGCTGTAATATTCCATGGCAGATATTCCTTGAGGCCCAAGTGATTGTCCTGGGAGTGGCTTTGAGGCTTTCCTTGGTCTGCTTCCAAGCTGGCTGTGTGATGGGGTCAAGGATCCCCAGCTGGAAGGGAGGCCCAGCTGGCAGCCACCACCTCCTCCTTCCACCTGTCCTCCCATCCATACAATGCACTCCAACAGCCTCACACCCCCACCTTCCCAAAGCACCAGCAATCACAAATCTTCCCCAGGAGAGGGATGCTGCCCTGTTCTGGTATAACTGAGAGTGTCTGAGACAAATGATTGGCATTTGTTTCAACTCTCTCTTATTGACAACGAAGAAACTGAGGTCCAGCATGGTGGGCAGATTTGCCCAAGGTTACCTAGCAGGTAAAGACTTGAGCCTTTTGAAGCCATGTGGTGATCAAGGTCTCATGGAAAGGCAAGTCCCAGATAGGAATTGGTGTTGGGTGTAGGAATCTGAAGAGGATGGATACTCAGAAAAATCCTCCTGACTCGGGGGATTCATATTTTGCCCTGGAAAGAAAACACATCTTACCACAGTGTCTGATGGAGAGACACAGAAGTGGAGAGTCCACAAGAGGGGTTCCCAACTTGGGTCACTTGTTAACATCATGGCGGGGAGTGAGGGGGAGTAAGAATGCAGATGCCTGAGCCTTACTGCAGAAAACTGAATTTGAATCTCCAAGGCCTCACAGTCCCTGTGAGCTCATTAGAAATGCAGAACCTCAGATCCCACCTGGCCTAGTGAATCAGAACTGGGGTGGTTTCTGTGCTTGTTGAAGTTTGAGAAGCACTACTTGAGCTACTCAATGAAACCACCTGATGACTGGGCCCCACCCCAGGTCAAACACATTAGAAACTCCAGACAGTGTGGACCGCCATGGGTGGTTTCCAGAAAGGCAAGGACCATGGAGAAGAGAGCAGGGCACATGATATGAGCTTAAAGGCATCAGAGACAAACTGACCTGAAATCACATTTTGCAGAATCCCCAGGCACATTGAGGAAAAGAAGTGTGGACGACGACGTGGAGGCTGGGGAGGCCTGGTCCTGCCTCAGCCTCTGTCTGTCCCACAGTGATGTGACCTGGAACAGACCATGGCTGACTCGAGAGAGGAAGATCTGAAGTCTGATGATTCTGTGTCCACCTTGAAATAGGGCAAGAGCAGAAAAATGACTTTTAAGTCCCATTGTGCTGTGCTGGATAAGTAGTAGTGCTATGGCTGGAACACTTGTGTCCCTCCAAAATACATGGGGGCATGTAATCCCCATTGCTGTGGTGTTAAGAGGTGGGCTTTTAAGAGGGTGCCTCACTCAGGAATGGAATTAAGGCTCTCATAAAAGAGGCTTCATACAGGGCCCTTTTTGCCCTTCTGCTATGTGAAGATATGGCAAAAAAAAAAAACCAAACCAAAACAAAACACTATCTTAGATGAGAGCCAGCCCTCACCAGACACAGACCACCAGCAGCATGGTCACATGATCTTGGACTTCCCAGCCTCCAGAACAGTGAGAAATTAACATACAGTTATAAATTATCCAGGCTGAGATATTTTGTTACAGCAGCACAAATCAACTAAGACAAGAAGGTTATGAGGTAGGCAGTACATAAGAGATGCTAAAATTAAAACAAGGTTCTCATAGTTGTGTCACAGCCATGTGACCCCGGGCAAATCCTGTAACCTCTAAGCTTCCGTTTGCTCATCTGTTAAATGAGGAGAAGAATCGCTAATTATGAAGTCACTGTGACCTGTCAGGAACTACAGGTTGAAAGCTCTTCACAAAATTTCTGGTACCTACGCTCAAACATAGTAGCAAGGACTAATGGCAATTCAATTTCAACTGCCTGGTCATTCTGAGTAAGAATTTAAGTTAGTAGAAGGCAGATGAGATGTGAACCATAACCTCTTTGCAGAATGAAAACCTGATGTCATGGTTTATCAGTAACGCTCCCAGCTATGGAAGACTGTTATCTCTGTCTCCTCCAGGCAAGCCTTGTTTAATCCACCACAGTGGTTTCCCACGAATGTGTACATACACACACACACACACACACACACACACACACACACATTCCTGGGAAATATACGTATAAAAGAAATATATATATATATAGAAGAAGAACAATGATAAACAATATACAAAATAATGTGGAAAGGCATGCAAATTAAAAAGGCATTAACTGATAGGGAAAAGGGAGCAAGGAACTAGTTGAAATTATGCGGAAGGCCCTCTAGATAAATACGAGAGTGAAAAGACAACTAATTGAAGAATGAGAGAGTTTTCTTAACCAGTGCTAGCTGAGTAAAAATATAATTATCTTTGATTCATGAAGATTGCTACAATATGACTCATTTACCAAAACAGTTACTAGCAGAATTACACTTGTTACTGTGAGAAAACCACATGGGAGCGAGGGCTGTAGTAAATATCAAATGTGTTTGGTATTTCACAATGGCACCTGGAAGGAGAGTTCTGTTTCCTGCTCAGTGGTTCTCTGTGATGCTGCTGTTCTCAGCAGGGCCATCTGCCATTAGTAGGAGCACAGAGACCTTCCTGTGAGATGGGAAATGCTAATGTAAGTGCTCCTCGCCAAGTTCTGGGAGAATCTCAACTTTCCCAGCCCAAACACACAGCATCTAGATCCCAAACTTCTTTGCTACAAGCGAAGCCAGAGCTCCCAGGCCACTGTGCCCTTGATTTTTATGCATATTGAGTTGATATCTCTTTCACCAAAGACTGCACACACACCCAGAACTTAGAATATATTCATGTCTGTTTATTAGTTGTCCAATGGCTCTAAAAAGGGGAAACTTTCATTTTTATAGTCAAATATTTTCTCTCTAGCTCAAACTGTTGCAGGCTTGGGTGTTCATGCCATAGAGCAGAGCTGCTTAAAGGTTCAAACCTTCAACAATTATAGGAAGCTGACTGCTGGGATGATGCACTAAAATAGGTGGAAGACAGTGGGCAGGGCACCCTCAGAGGGAGAAGGGACCTCACTGGTGTTCTGGCCCAAACCATTCTAAGGCCAGATGTGGCTCTAGGATGTACGTGTGTGTGAGTGATGAACACAGCCATGTGTTCTATAAAAACATAATGAAAGGCATGGGAAGAGATAAGAAGATGCATTTCTCACATAGCAGAAGAACTCTGCAGGGAGAAATGTACAGAAAAAGGCAGCAGCAAACGGTCCTGCAAGCATAAGCGTAATTAAAATAAATACCGCTTACAAGCATAATGAAGAACATTTCAGGGCATGTTGAGACCCTAACTGATACAAATGAGGATCATTAGCTTCCCTGGGCTCTCCTGTTCAGTGTAGGACAAGAACCGTGCAAATAGAAGGACATGACCAGGGCTCTGATGATAAAATTATAACCCCACACCAGACCTGGGTCTTATAATGAGAAGAGCCATATTCATCTCCAGTCTCAAAGCCACTTGAGGGCCTGAAGACCATCAATATAGATGACACCTAGCTGTCCTCATCCAAGGATAACAAATGTTTTCAGAACCACCCACTTCTCTTCCCCCCCACCCCAGTATGCATAATACTTCCACAAGGCCTGGAAGCTAAGAAGATTCCAGATATGAGTCTCTCTCAGGCTGAGATCAACCACACTGTTTATGATTATGAAGGGTCTACTACATGCTAGGCCTTGCACTAAGTACTTTGCATGCATTGTTTCATTTATCCCATCCACAGGCCTGGGAGGTATTATCAATATGCCCATTTTAATGATAAGGATAATGGAGGCTCAGGGAAATTGAGCGACTTGCCCAAGATCAAACAGTAAGTGACTAAAGCAGAAAGCCAGCTTTGGTAGGTTGTTTTTAAGATCAACTTATGTGGTGAGGTGACAAAAACGGCAATGAGCAGCCCTGTCAGAGCAAACACAAAATGAAGAATTACTCTGTGAAAGAAAGGACCCATTCCAGGGCCCAGGGACAGAAAAGAACTTGGGAGATGTGAGGTCCTTCTAAGTGTCTATTACTGACTAATTATCAGCCCCCAGGATGTGAGGTAAGATATCAGGAACTTTGACTCTCCTTCACATGATCTCTCCACATAGCTGCTTGGGCTTCCTCCAACATGGCGGCCGAGTTCCCATGGGAATGTGATGGAAGCTACCAGTCTTTTTCATGGCAAAGCATGGAACTGGCACAGTGTTACACCGCCACTGTATTCTTTTGGCCGACGCAGTCACAAGCCCAGCCCTAATTCAATGAAAGGAATGACAAAGAGTTAAAAAAAAAAAAAGCCAGTGTGGTGGAATCACAGTTGACTAGAGATGAAGGAGCAAGAAAAGGAAGGGTTGTGGTACCTGGCGATAGGAGAGAGATTTTTGCAAGGCTTTTTTGACCATGTGAAGGACTTTGGATTTCATGCTAAGTGCAGAAGAAACCTTTATTCCTTTTTCACCCCTGCTCTCATCTCAACTGTGGTAGAAGACTAATAAAAATGAGGACTGGAGAGATTTCATCTTAAGTTCACAGGGCAAATATGCGTGCACATAAGATGCATCTAATTCAGGGATTTAATAATTGTAAGGTATTGGTAAACTGTCATCTTCATATATAAGCTCCCCCAAAATGCCATCTGTTGCTGAGGGACCCACATAACATGCCAGAATTCCAAGCTTCAGGAACAATGCCAATCTACCTCTCCAGGTGCCGTACCAGGTACTCTCACACCATTTTCACATGCAGAATGACTGTTGATTGTTTTCTTTCTTTTTTTTTTTTTGTTTTTGAGACGAAGTTTTGCTCTTGTTACCCAGGCTGGAGTGCAATGGCGTAATCTCGTCTCACCGCAACCTCCGCCTCCTGGGTTCAGGCAATTCTCCTGCCTCAGCCTCCTTAGTAGCTGGGATTACAGGCATGCGCCACCATGCCCAGCTAATTTTTTGTATTTTTAGTAGAGACGGGGTTTCACCATGTTGACCAGGATGGTCTCGATCTCTTGACCTTGTGATCCACCCGCCTCAGCCTCCCAAAGTGCTGGGATTACAGGCTTGAGCCACTGTGCCCGGCCGCTTGTTTTCTTTACCCATCACCCTCACATACTTTATACTCCTGAACACAAAAAAGTCAATAGCCCTTCAGTTTGTTAATTACCAGCCAGTCTGTCTTTATTTAAACACTGCTTTGAGGTCAGCAAGTTTTGCTGTGCCCAGACAACTGAATCACTGCATCCAACATGACTCCCCAGTGTTTTGGTGTCTTCATTGGTTAGAGAACTGGATTTCTTGCTGCCAGTTAGAGTCATTCAGTGAGGAAGAAGTAAGGAAGAATAACCTCCCTCCATTGCCAAAGCCAGAACTAGCCTGTACAATGAGTGTAAATGCTATAACACACGGGAGAGTAGGATGATGCTATTCAACACGTTAAATACCTTCTGTGCTGAGGTATCACGACAAGTCAGACGTACTCCAAATTCTTGAGTTGCTAAGAATAGAGAAAGGAATTATCCACAAATATGTTTTATTTCCATACAATGTAGTAAGTATAGTGATACAGAAATTCAAAGGGTACAAGGAGATCCCAGAGTGGGGGACTCGAGCTGAGTTTTTGGGAGTGATGAACCAGGAGGAGTGGGAGTTAATAAAAGTATTTCAGACAGACAGAAAATTGGGGGGAAAAAAAGAAGGCTCATTTGTGTGAGAAAGCTAGGCAAGTGTCTGTTTTGAAAAGGGGGTTGCATGAGATGGCAATATTACTGGGATATAATTTTTTTTCTAAGCAAGTCTTGCCTCAAGTTTATTTGTACAAATAGCACAGAAGGATCCCAGCCCCATTCAGATGGCAGCCCAGGGGAGCTGCACCAGTCTTCTGTCCTCACGTTGGCAGAAGGAGATCTCTACTCTGAAGCCTTTGTAGGGGCCTGGGCTGTACCTTCGGGAGCCTGAGCTGGAACTGAAGCTGGAGCTGCAGCCTCGAGCTCGGTTTGGTCCTTGGCCTTGGCCTTTGGCCGGCACAGCCTGAGCCCCTTGGCAATGCGAGCACGATCATGCTTCCCAAGCTCGGGGTGTGCAACGTAGACAAGTTGCCAAGCTTGCGGCCGATACCCCTTGGGATCTTGGGCTTTACGAGGGCCCTGACAGCCTCGGCATCTGCACTCCTGGCCTTGGCATTGTTGGCCTGCATCTTCTTTAGGCCCTTCTTCTTGTGCTTCTTGGCAAAGCACATGTTCCTCAGGAACTTGGGGTCCACGCCCTTAAGAGATCCGTATCTTTGTGATCGGGGTTTCTTGATGCCATTTCTGTGCCATTTTCAGGACTGGTTGTGTGTGGGGTGGTTCTTGCACTGAGCCATGTCTGCACCTTAGGGTACGTCTCCTGAAGTGCCCAGGACTGGAAGTAGTATGTAACTTTAACACAAGTTGTGGCAAGGGACAAAAAGGAAAAAATAAACAGTGGGCAGATCACAGAGGGCTGTGTATGCTATGTTAAGGAACTTTGTATTTATGCTATAACTCTCAAGGATTTTTAAGGGGAATGACTTCATCAGATTTTTATTTGGATAAATTATTCTGGTAGAAATATAAAGATAGACAATATTGAGGCAAGACTGAAAAGCAGAGAGACTAGTAGGAGGTATTGACTCAATAGTACAGCTTTGTTACGTAGGTAAACTCATGCCATGAGAGTTTGTTGTACACCTTATTTCATCACCCAGATACTAAGC